GTTTTGGCAAATGGACATACACATCTCTGTGGGGTATATGCCTAGGAATGAAATTGCTGGGTCCAGAAATACTACAAAACTGTTTTCCAAAGTAGTTACATTAATTTACAATCCACAGAAGTGAGTGAGAATTTCACCAACACTTGGTATTTTCTGATTTTTTCATTTTAGCCAGTCTGGTGGTTATTCATGGTGTCTTGTTCTGGTGTTAATTCACATTTCACCTTTTCATGTATTTATTGGCCATTTGAATGTCCTTTTTTGTGAAATGCCTATTTGAGTATTTTCGCATTATTCTTTTAGTTTATCTGCCCGTCCTTTTGATCTGTAGGAATTCTTTTATGTATTTTACATGAGTCTTTTTTTGATCTATCTATTGCAAATATCATGTCCCATTTTGAGGCTTGCCCTTCCACTCTCTTCATAGTGTTTTTGGGTGAATAGGAGTTCCTAATTTTAATAATATCCAATTTTTAGGGTCTTTTTCTTTATGGCTTGTGTTTTTTGTGCCCTGTTGAAGAAATCTGTACCCACTGAAGATCATGAAGATGTTTTTCTATGTTTTCTTCTACAAGCTTGGTTTACCTTTCACCTTTGGATTTATGATCCATCTAGAATAGATTTTTGTGTATGCTGTGAGAGAGGAATCAACATTATTATTATTATTGCTGTGGATATCAATTTCACCTGGAACCATTTATTGAAAGGGCCATTATTTCCCCATTGCACTGAACTACTTCCTTCATTATAAATCATTGACAGAGGGGTGTGGGTCTATTTCTGGACTCTCGTTCTGTCCCATGGGTCTAGTTCTCCAATTTTCCATCTTGATTTTATTCTGTGCAAATCCTGTGGGCCTGACTTGGGAAGCTTCCCCTCAGAGGCTTGTTTCTGCTTCTGCTGGTGGGCAGGGGATGCCTCGGCACCAGGACCGCTTGGGTCTCCTCCAGGGTCTGTCCCAAGCGGCACTGTCAGACTCAGCTTCTCCACTTGCAGGATCTTGCTAGGATAGATGTTCCCACAGCTGTGCTGCTTCAGGGATCAACTCTGGCTGCCCCTCCTTCCCTGCCCTCTGTGACCCCCTGGCTTACAGCCTTGGCCTGGCAGCCTAGCCCTGGCTCCTGGTGTGCCTGTCTGAGCCCTGCCCCAAAGCCACCCTAGGCTAGGCTCACGTTTGTTTTCCATTGTGAGGCCGACAAAGCCTCAAGGACTGTGTTTCTGTGATCTAGTTGCTGTGGAAAGTACCAATGTCTACCTCTCATATTGGCAGAAATTAAAATGTTTCCTAACTCCCAGTGTTGGTGAGTATACTGATTTCCTGGGACTGCTGTAACAAATCACCACAAACTGGACGGTTTACAAGAGAAAGATATTCTCTCACAGTTCTGGAGGCCAGAGTCTGAGATCAAGGTGTCGGCAGAGCCGTGCTCCCTCTGGAGACTCTAGGGGAGGATCCTTCCTTGCCTCTCCCACCTTCTGGTGGCCCCAGGCGTTCCTTGGCTTGTGGTTGCATCACTCGACTCTGGGCCTCCATTCTCACGTGGCCTTGTCTTCTGTTTGTCTCAAATCTCCCTCTGCCTTTTCTCTTATAAGGGTACTTGTCATTGCATTTAGGGCCTACCTGGACAATCCAGGATAATCTCCTATCTCAAGAGCTTTAATTTAATCCCATCTGCAAAGAATCTTTTTCCAAATATGGTCCCATTCCTGGGTCCCTGGGATTAGGACATGGACATACCTTTTGGGGCCACCATGCAGCCCATGACAGTGAAGTTGTGAGGAGGGGGATTCCTGCTCATTGGCAGCGGAAATCCAGATTGGGGCAGCTCTTGGGAGGCCAACTGGACACCGCCAACAAAACTTTAAAACATACGTACCCTTTGACCTAGATGTCTTGGAAGACACCCCACAGACCTGCACGCAGACAGCGTGCCAGATGTTCTCTTACTTGTTAAGCTCTATTTTTAACAAATATCTATAAATGAAAGCTTTGTTTCCAAAGCAGGTCCCATAGTTGGCACCCCTCCCACGTGAAGGCTGAGCCCCGTCTCTCCTTCCAGAAATGGTGGAGATGATGCTAATGCAGAACGCCCAGATGCACCAGATCATCATGCAGAACATGATGCTCAAGGCCCTGCCGCCCACCGCACTCGCTGCCTCAGGGCCACGGGCCGCTGCCCTGCACCCCACCCCACAGGTAGCTAGGCAGGGGCAGGGGCAGCGGGGCAGCATGGACCACCCAATCCAAATAAGACCACCTGGAGTTGCTTTCCTTCTGGAGGTATCTGCATATGTACAGCTCTGAAAAGTACACTTCTGACTCCCGGCCTGTGGGCTGGGTGCAGGGGGTCCCACCTCAGAGGAGGGAAGGGTGGACATTCCAGGGTACACAAAGCCGCTGCCTGGAGCTGGGGCACAGTCAGTAGGGTTCCTGAGCTCTAGCTGGAGGCTGGCACTCGTCAGCCCTCTCCAAGCTGAGTCAGGAATCGGGGGGACAGGAAAGGGGGGTCCTCGTTTGAACCCTCCCTTTCTGAAATGGGCCACTTGTACACGTTGTGTCAGGACCCCCAGTGGGCTCACCCCATCCTCCTGCGAGCGGAGAAGCAGAGGCTGGCCTCCGTGCACCACCACCACCACTACGCACCCCCAGCCCCACTGCAGCCCATCTCTGTGCCCGGGACCTCTGTGGGCTACGCTGTGTGGCCCTCAATGGTTGCAGCCACCGCACTCCCACAGGCTGCCAGCTTCCAGCCTGCGGTGCACCAAGTGGCTGGCCCCATGGCCACTGCCACCCTGCCCACCGTTAATGCGTAAGTCCAGTTGGGTGGGGTGGAGGCTCGCTCTCGGCCGGGGTTGGGGGGAGGGGCGGGGGTGGGTAGTCATAGCCCTGAGGCAGAATGTGCTGTAGCTGTCCCAGGGTCTGGTCTCCTCTCCACACCCCTTGCTGAAGAGCCAGAGGCTTTAGACAGCAGCGGGGAAGGTGCTGGGCCCTCTTCCAGAGGGACAGATGA